AGGCATGCACCCTTACACCCAGCTAATTTTTAAATTATTTGTAGAGAGAGGAATCTCGTTGCATTGCTCAGGGTGGTCTTGAACTCCTGGCCACTGTAGTGTTTGTCTTTTTCTGTCTGGCTTATTTCACTTGGCAAAATGAACTCGAGGTCCATGCATGCTGCAGCATGTGTCAGAATCTTCTTCCTCTTTAAGGCTGGATAATATCACATCACATGGATGGATCGCATTTGCCTTCCAGTCGTCTATAAGTGGACACTTGGGCTGCTCCCACGTTTTGATTATTGTCAACAATGCCGCTGTGAACATGGGTGTATAAATTGCCGTTGAGCCCCTACTTGCACTTCTTTTACCCAGAAGTAGAATTGCTGGGGATCAAATGAGAATTCCATTTTTAATTTTTTGAGGAAGCACCACAGTGTTTTTCCTGTCAGTTGCACCATTTTATATTCCTACCAATAGTAGACAAAGGTTTCAATTTCTCACACCCTCATCAACACTGTTAATTTCTGTGTTTTGGTTTGATTTGGTTTGGTTTGGTTTTTGATAATGGCCATCCCAATGGGTGAGAGGTGGTATTTTTAATATTTTTGCTTAGAGGAAGAGACTCACAAAGGCAATAGCGTCTAAGACTCGTGATAGTCAGAGTGCGGGCCTGCTGGCCTCCACCAACCTCTTGGGGGTCTCCTGGCCTCTCAGTGCTGCAGCCAGGGTGGTCTTTCCCATTTCCACCTGGAGATTTCACTCCTCTGCTTTATACTCTTTTATGGTGCCCTGCATCCAGAATGTTCTGATCCTCTGCTTCTGTGCTTGCCGTGCGGAGCTGAAAGCACCAGGAGACAGGGGCTGACTCAGGAACAGCACTTGGAAAATATGGACTGAAGAACAGACAGCACTGCCCTGTCATGCCTTCATCACATGAAACAAGAATGCACAGTCGCCCCCTCTAAGGTTGTCTGCAATCCACAGCAACTACTCACGGGCAGGCCCTCAGCACTCCACGGAGGCTGCTTCGCTTAATTCCGTGTTGATTCCTGTGGCTGCTATAACAAGTCACAACACACTGGGTGGCTTCAAGCAACAGAAGGGGACTCTCTCACAGTTCTGGTGGCCAGACCTCTGGAGTCAGCATCGCTGTGCCAAAATCAAGGCTCTAGAGGAGAAACTGTTGCGTTTCCCGGCGGCTCCTCCATGTGGCTGCCCACATCCCTTGGCCTGTGGCCACATCCCTCCAGCCTCTGCCTCCATGATCACATTGCCTTCTCCTTTGTGTGTGCCACATCTCCTCCCGCCTCGCTCTTATAAGGACACAGGTGATAGTATTTAGGGCCTGCCAGATAATCCAGGATGATCTAGTTTTAAGAGAGTAACTATCACATCTGCAGAGACCCTTTTCCAAATCAGGTAATGTTTATAGGTTCCAGGGATTGGGTCCTGGTATATTTGGGGAGCATTATTCAGGCTACCACAGTTCCCCACACAACCTCCTGAGGCACATACTGTCCCCTGTATTTTGGAGGTAAGAAGCTGTGACTGGGAGAGGGGTAGGTGCTGAACAAGCGACATGCTGAGGTCACACATCCCCTTTGGGTGAGAAGGTTAATGCACCAGATTCCAGAGGTTTAGCTCTTCATGGGGCTTCTTAGAGACAATGCCCAGCTTCTAGGATTCCAGCTCTGCCTCACACAACCCCTTCAGTCCTGCCCCCTGGACCTCAGGATGTTAGGGACCCCCCCAACCCAAGACAGTAGGTCCCTGTCTCATTGAGTGCCAAGACCCTTTTCGCTATGCTGTATAGGGAGATGTAGCTATTTGTTTTAGCAGATTTCCTGAAATAGAAACTACCGTTAAGAATGGTTTTCACACTACCCAGTATTCAAGGAGGAATGGTATCCCTCTAAATTCCTATCTTGAAATCCTAACTCCAAGCACCTCAGAATATGACCTGACTTGGAAATGGGGTCATGGCAGATGTCATGGTTCAGATGAGGTCAGACTGGAGTAGGGTAAGCCCTGCTGCAATATGACAGGTGTCCTTATAAAGAGGGGAAATGTGGGTGCAGACACACAGGGAGAATCTGATTTGAAGGGAGTTCTGCTGCCACAACAAGGAGTTACCAGAACTCAGAGCCAGGCCTGGAGCAGATCCCTCCCGAGAGCCTGCAGAGAGAGCCCGGCCCTGCCCACACCTTGACCTTGCACTTCTGTTTAAGTCACCCGGTTTGTGGTGCTTTGTGACGGCAGCCTTAGCACATGAATACATCAGGTAAGGCAGATCACTGAACTAACCAGAAACTTCATTTCCTGCTGTTTCTCCAGGCCTGGGTAGGCAAGGCTGACCTGCTTTTAGGCTGGGGGTGCCGTACCATTCAGTGCAGGCACCGAAGTGTGCTTTCTACGGCCTCCCTCACCAGCTGTGACCAATATCATTACAACCTGGGGTGTGGTATGGTGCCTTGTATAATATGACTCTAGAAAAAGCAGGAAGAAAGGAAGGGAGGGAGGGACAGAGGAAGGAAGGAAGGAAGGAAGGAAGGAAGGAAGGAAGGA